CTTGGACATCTTCATAAGTGAGCCTATTTGAAATACTAAAAATATTAAAATCAGATGTACCCCTTTCTTTTTTAAGCGTTGTCCCTCAAAGCATGTAATATGCATCCTTTTGAAAGTGATAAAAGTGCTGTGTTCTAGAATCAACATTTTGCTTGACGCGACCCTTTGCTCAGAGGTCAGCATGAAACAAACCTACATTAAAAAGGTTGTAAGAACAAATTGCTGATAGCTTCCCAACAAAATGAACACGTTAACTCCTGTTTCAGAAAAGTTGTGAAGCATTAGTGATATCCTGTAAGAGGAAAAATTGCGTCCAGTTTTGTTAGGAGTGAGGACTGTTGATATTGACTTAATATCAATAGAATTGACTGCACGTCCTTGTACAGTTTGTCGAGGGCGAATGCAGCTTAGCAATAGAAAGACAGTGTGTACGACAGAGAAAGACAAAGACAGAGGGAGAAAGAGAGAGAGAGAGAGAGAGAGAGAGAGAGAGAGAGAGAGAGAGAGAGAAAAGAGAGAGAAAGAAAAAAAGAAAGAGAGAGAGAGAGAGACATAAAGACATAGAGACAGGGGGATAGAGACAGAGAGAAAGAGACACGAGCAGTATCCATCCGTATAATAATAACATCTATCTATTCTCTGCTACATAATCTCAACTTCTGACCCTAGTCTCAATCGACCAGCCTCCCAAACTTCCCTGCTCTAAGAGGAAAAAATGCTTCGCTCTCCCTTCCAGCTAAAACGGCAGGTTTTTTAATGTTATTGTTGTTGTTGCATCGCCCATTTTACACCAGTCTTTTTGTATTCTATTCTGCTTCGCGTCTTTTCTCATTTTTCCCCCACCGTACTTTTTTCCCCGGCTTCCGTTGCCCCATCAACAAGATGACGGGGCAAAGACAAAAATCATTTCCCATCAAACTCCCGTGTTTCCATTCAGCAGAGTTATTTCCCCAGCTTTCCTCTTGTTCCCTCAGGACCTAGTATTTTATAAGCCCGTGAAAGGGTGCGCTTTGCTTCGTGTTTTGCAACGATTTCTTCTTCTTATTTAACCTGATCTCTCACAGAATCTTGCATTACTTTGAGAGATAGGATGTTTCACTATTTATATGATTTGTTATCGGTTTTTCCTTGTATGAAAGGAATTTTTGCCATCCGTTCTGAATTATTTTCTTATATCTCTGTGAAATATCGAAGCCTATATTTTCGTTGAAAACATTTTACTTTCGATGTTAGGAAAGAGAAACAAACAAGAAAGTCAAATATTTTTTTCGACATTAGGAAAAAAAACTACAGAGTGAAGCTACATTAGGAACTGCAATTGTAGCAGAAACATCGAAGACAACAGCGGCTAAAAGAAGCTCTGTACAACTCCAGTATGTATTACCCACCAAATTCTAAGGGGCTGGCGTCTGTGGTGTAGCTGTAAAGATCCTCTCTGTCTCACGCAGAATAACCAGGTTCGATTCCCGTAGAGGGAGAATTTCATCGAGTTTCAAGGTCTTTCTGCTAGAATGCCGTATCCCTCTCTGCCTGTGTTGGCCCAGACAGACATGGTCGAATCCGTCTTCCTGAATTATCTAAATTGTGTCGATATGGGCATGAAACACCTACATTAAAAACAAACTCTAAAGAGACGATCAAAAGTGACTCTGCTTCAGGTACTAACCTTAGACCCATAAACCCACGACTGGATATTAGTACCCGTTGCGTTGCTACTTACTGATCTCTCTGATGATCCCGACTCCGGATTCTACCTACCACCTCTCAAGCCCAATCTACTGGTCACGTGGTTCTGTGAGCACTTTTCGAAGCAGAGAGACAACAGCCGGCATGAGCGCTGGGGGTCATCCAGTGCACGTGAACTCTAGTCCTCTCTCCAGGGGTGGCTCGAGTGTCAGCGACCGTTAGCTTAATGATGTCATTATGGCAGCAATCGAGAGAGGATGGGTGCAGGACCAGCTGTTGTGACTTGTGTAATGATAATGTTATGATAGACACAAGGGCTGACTTTTATGTGCTCCCCCAAATTCGAAAAAAACCTCTCTCTAATCTCTCCTCTCCTCTCTCTCACTCACTCACTCTCTCTCTCTCTCTCTCCCTCTCTCTCTCTTTCTCTCTCTCTCTCTCTCTCTCTCTCTCTCTCTATCTATCTATCTATCTATCTATCTATCTATATATCTATTTATCTACCTATCCTATCTCTCTATCTCTCTCTCTCTTTCTCTCTTTCTCTCTTTCTCTCTCTCTCAGATGGATGTCAGTAATATAATATTATGGATATATGTGCTATACCAATCTTGCACACGCAAAGACACATCAGAAATATACTTGCACACTCAGTCTCTTGGGTTTATTTCCGATGTGTAGATAGCAGAGAGGGGTGGTACAGAGGTTGATGAGGAGAGAAAGAGACAGAGAGAGAGGGGGAGCTAGAGAGAGGGGGGGTGAGAGAGAGAGAGACGAAGGAGGGAGAGAGCGTGAGAGAGAAAGAGAGAGAG